TCTCTTGTATTTGGTGGAGAGGGAAGAGATGGCCCAAAACTCATAGGCAGCTGCTTCTGCAAGTGCTTGAGTAAGGATTTCTGAGTTCCTGAAGTTGAGGTGTGAAGAGGAGAAGACTTATTTTTGTCTCCACCTCCCTATTCCTCTGGGAGCTACTGATCTTGTAAGCTCCTTTATTCTGAGGCTCTCAGAAGCATTTGGTGTCATTGCAGTCACGCTTCTTTCTCTTTCCTCAGCTTTTGATCCCTAACCTGTAACATGGGAAAAAAATTGCTCAGTTCCCTTAGGTTTTTGGATCACAGAGATCATCATGGCTGCAGATTGTAAGAAGAACCTGCCTATTGGTCCATCAGCCTAGAAAATATGCCTGCAAAGGCCAACTGCAAATAGTAGATGAACTCTTGGCTATGTAGCAGAAACCACTGTGGGTTATGGGGACTTGCTAAATGTACTGAAGGTTGTGAAATAAACAGGTTTGACAGCTGCTTGCTCCAAATTGGGCTGGTTTTGTCTCAGTTCAAGAATCTCTGTACAAGAACACAAAATTGTCTAACCCAAGCTATGCAAAAAGCCTGTGAATGTTTCTAAAAGCATCTTTGATTTAAAAATCTAGATGTTTTTCTGTAAGCTTTCTCACGTGTGTGGTTTTTTTCTGTTGGTTTTAATGTTCCCTCGCTGTAAATCAAGAGTCATTCCATTTCTGTAAGTAAATTTCCCTCTGACATCAGAATTGAGGAACAAGTGAAAACACATCTTTTCTGCTGATTCTTTCCATTCCATTTGTTTGTGGTTCAGGTCTTGGCTGTATGTTGAAGGCTGTATTATTATTTTTTAATCTAAACTGTTTGTTCCATAGTAGAGAGGATCATTTGTTTTGCGTGTTACTTTAAATAACAGAAACATCTTGGTTATAAAAGCCGAAGAAGGGGGGCTTAAACATTCTAAATATTTGATACTATTTAATAAGTATATCTACTAAAAACAGCCTTTGTAAAAAAGGGTAGTAACCCATTCTGTAATATTCCTAGTCAACAGCAAAAGCCGTAAAGATATTTTTTTTCTGAAATGATTAATGGGTGCGTATCTGAAGTCCTGCAGATTTTTGCTATACTCAGCGGAATCTAAAATTCTAAAAGAAAGGATATCTTGTACTCCTGCTTGTGAAAATAGCTCTTCCTTTATTCTGTTTGCTCTCTTGCCAGCCAAGCTAGAAAAGTAGGCAGTACCATCAAGCTATGCTAATGTTAGGTATTTTCATCCGTTCAGTGTCCAAGAGGCTCGATTCCTTATCTGCCATCATCCCTCCAAGAAGTATATGGGTGCATGTGTGGGGAATGCAGGATGGGGCACAAATCTTGTACTCTTTGAAGACACTTTGTCCAAAACAGTCAGTTCCAGTAAGTGTAATTTAGTTGATAAATATCTAAGTTTTCTGGAGAGGAACGTCTGCTTGTTTTCTGCAGTGTACCAAAAGCATTTTTAGTACACTCCTGGTCCTGAAGTCCTTGAACACAGACATGAGGGCGTGCAGTGCTATTTGTGTGTTGATGGATGCTTTGTTATTTGCTTTCCTCAAAAATGTGGCATTGTACTAGACTGCTTATAGACTGAGCCATTTGTTTAATATTTCATGGCAATGAAAGAGAAGAACAAGACAGATCAAACCAGTGTCTGTGGAAATGAAAATGAGCATACTGATGTTTATTATCCTGGTGTGGAAGACCAGGAGACTTTATTGTTCCTGGAGTTGTTGTGATTGCTTTTGTTGGTGAGATTACTAATAGTCTTCCCCTGTTGTCCATGCATGTGTAACTCCCTGGGCATTTTCTATTGATATCTTCATCCAGATTACCTATTCTCAGGATACAAGCTTAAATCCAAAAGGTAATGAAAGTTTTTAGTGAATATGTGAAATAGAATACAGATCACAGAGGCCATACAATCTCAGTGTGAAGAGGAGAATCAGCAATATCACACCCTGAATGTTTAGACCTCATGTGAAACTGTTGTCTTCAGACATATTCAGTTTTGAACAGATGCATAAACCTGATTTTTAAGCATGAGCACATGTTGTTAGTTTATATATGTAGCATGTATGCGTACAGAATACATATGCATATTAAAAATCACTGATTTGAGGCTCCTAATTTAAGAAAACACTTGGCCACGATTCGAGGGGGAGTTGAGCAGGTGTTTTGGTGCTTTGCTCATTTGGGGAAAGCCATGTGTGATGCGTTGGCCAATAAAAGATGCACTGAATGATGTCCTGCTTCCATAGTCACTGTCCTTACACTAAGGCAAATGGGGAAGAGTTGGACTTGCAAAGAAATGGAAGGACTGCCTGAATTGATGTGGTCTATGTGCCAGGAGGGAGCTCTGTAATGCCAGCTGTGATGTTGGGGTGTCCTGTGCTGCCCGGGATGTCTGGCTGTTGCATGGGTTTGGGTTACTTTTGGTGGTCACATAAATTGCTGCATCTCTTAATAAAAAATAAAAAGTCAAGCTGTATTTTCAAATTTTACAGTACAAGATAAAGTTTTTTCAAGTCACGTTTTGAAATCTTTGATTTCAAGACATGAAATAATTTATTAAATCCATCTTTATTGAAATCTGCCTTCCTGGTGTTTGCATATGCTCTGACTTTAGTGGTCTGCTGTGAAACCAAAAGGAACTTGTTTGAGAGGGATTCAGGAGATGGCTTTTCTCCTTCCTTGAGAATCAGGTGGAAATTTGTGACCAGACATTCTTGCCATCACTGGGAAAGTGGCTGCTGTTGGTGGGGGCAAGAATGACAGACCTGCTAGGAAGTAAGCTTGGGATCTAACTGTGTATATTAAATCTATCTGGAGATGGAGAGGAGGCAGGATTTGGACAGAGTCCAGGTCTGCCCTTGACTTGTCCCATATAACCCCTTTTGAATTCAGAAGGAATTATCTATGAATAAATATAAGGGTGGATGTGCATAAGTGAGTGAGAATGTGGTTGCCTGATGTGGGATTCCCATAGTGAGGTGTTGACTCATCTTTTTTTGTATGGAAAGCTATTTTCCAGCCTTAGAAACACTGGTTCCAGTTTGGAAAGGCATTGAGGCAATTGTATGAAGTGCTTTTCCAAGGAGGTATTTTTTCCATAGTCAAGTCCTGTGTAAACTTGAAATGTCTTTGATTTAGGGAAGGTGGGGGGGGTGAGAAGTAGTTTCAGGTGCATAATATCTTGCACATGGAGACCCTGTTCTGTTGGTCCTTAGGCAATACCATGATTAAAAAAAACAATACAAACACCTGGATCCACCTGCCAAGTTCTGTAGCTTTACACTCCCTTTTCTATAACTTAAAAATAGGAAAGAAGAGGCAGGGGTTTTTTTGCTGTGCTTCCGCTGCTGTGTTGAGAGAGACTTTTAAACAGCGCGAGCTGCCAAAATGAAGGAGACAGTGAAACTGTCCATATGTACCGGGCTGTTGCATGCACAGACAGGTTGGGGGAGGAAGGAGAAAACCCCTTCCTTGCCTTGCCTTCTCTTGCATAGAGTATTGTTTCTCCCATACTGGTGAGCTAAATTATTTTCGTAAAGAAGTATACTTCTTGAGTTGATGTCCCTGTAACTTCTGAATTTCAGGCCTAGTGTGCTAAAAGATTTGATCTTTCCCTTCCCAAATAAATTGTATTTAAAAGTGCTTGGTTTTCTAACTAAAGGAATTCTGGAGCAGGAAAATGTCCAAGTAAATTCAGGCTTTGCTCTTTAACATTGGCAGCTGCTGTGCAAGATGCATTTTGAAACTGTAGTTCTACTTGTGTTAGCAACAACAAAAAATTGCTCTAATTTTTTTTTTTTTTTAATTGTAAGATACAATTGCGTTTGTTTTGCACTTTCTAATCTTGGAAACAGAAACTGGGTAAAACTGGTTGGCTCTAGCTAGCTCTGCCTCTGTAAGTACTGGAACCAGTTTAGTTGGGGGTAGGTCACCAGAGTGAAAGTTTTGTTTAAGGTCCTTCGCAACCATGTCAGTATTGTTTCTCTTAGCTTGTTTAGCTTTTGTGCTGGCTTTGTGAAGGTACAATACAGCTTAGGTCTTAATGTACAACTGTTTTGGCTTCAATATAGCAAAGCTATAAATAGACACCCCCTTGCCTCCCAGCAGTAGGAAATGACTGCAGCAGGTGTTGTCCTCTGCTAGAAATTTGCACGTTATTAGTACCCAAGTACTTTTTAAAAAATTGGCTTTCTTGTTGTGTGTTCTTCCTTTATTAAGTGCCAACTGACTGGTCAGCAAGCATGTTGTTAAAATCTGAAATCTTCATTAAGACAAAAGAAATAAAACCAGAAAGGTATTTTTGGTTTATTTCTGTGCAGCCTCTGTGTAAAGTATGTTTTATGTGCAATTTTAAAAGTATTAACAGAAGGCACAGGACAGTTGCATAATGCTGGTTGCTGGTTAAAGTGGTATTTTAATTCTTTTAGCTGTGTTGGGCTGGAGTTTAGCTCAGGTTTGTAGTAGCAGTTCCTCCATGGTAGTATTGGTAGAAGCTTGGAAGGCTGCAGGCAAGATTTGTATCCCTGCTTGTGCTGAATAGTATTTTGCCCAGTGAATGGCATCAAGAAAATAAACGAGGCTTTTTGTGCAGCAAGGTAGTGCTCAGAGTAAATAAGGATATTGCAGTCTGGTCCATGTGAAATGAGTTTGATGGTGTCAATAAACAAGCTTCCCCTTGACGCAAAACCCATCATTGTGTTTGGATTAACTTTCAGTCTCAGCAAAGAGGCCGAGTTGTTTGGGCAAGGAGAATAAATGCATTTGTGCTGCTGAGATTGTTTCCTTTCAGCTGCGGTGGAGACCCCTTGCTTCCTTGCCACTGTTGGGTGCTGAAGAAATAGTGAAATCAAAGGGAGATGTACTGTGTACTTATAGTGCATGTGTAAACAGCAAAAAAGGGGGACAATCCTGTGTTTCAGTTACTGTTTAATATGTATCTGCCTTTATACCCCTTCTTTTCTCCTGCAGATGTGAGAGCTGTGTGGAACTGCTGTTTGTGAGAGGGGCTGGGAATTGCCAGGAGTGCGATACCCCCCTGCGGAAGAGTAACTTCAGGGTACAGCTCTTTGAGGATCCTGCTGTTGACAAGGAAGTGGAAATACGGAAGAAAGTTCTGAAAATGTGAGTGTCACCAGTTAAAAGAACAGAAGGTGGCTATATTTCATGGATCACCATTTAAAAAAACTGACTTACTGCTCCAGTAGTACAGAGGAGATAATTTTCTTCTTTTTCGTAAAGTGACAACCCATAAAACTTGACTCCATTTAACATGGAGGGATTTCAGAGAATCTGATTTTATGCAACAACTGAGGGCTGAATTCTCAGTTTAGCCTTGAGGGATTCCTGCTTAGCATTAGAAAATGTTGGGTGTTTCTATGTTGCCTCCTTTGGCAAAGACTTGCCTCCTAAATGGAGATGATTAGATATTGATGACTACAGCAGCTTTGCCTTTGAGGGGGTGAATATGGGAGTGGGGCAAGAAACAGGACCTTGATTGTTTGTTCCCTGGGGACCTGTTCTGAGAGTTGAAGGCTAGTTCCCTTCAAAATGAAAATGGACAAAAGAGAAGCTGTGTTCACATTGTTTTCTACTTCACAATTGTTAGTGGAAATGTTAGTGGAAATGCTTCCTTACAAGCCTTGTGTTACTAGTCTGTAATGTAGATTTGAGAGCTCTTGCAATTGAGATAAATGAGGTCTAAAATTGTGTCTTGCTCCTTGTGGCTAAGAAACAACATTTTATAAGGAAAATAAGGGAACCAGTTGATGTTTTGGTAGAAGCGGGTCTGATGGAACATGACAAACCTGGAGAGAATTGTGGGTGCAAGAATGAACGTACAGGTAAATTGTAAGCTTGGCAGCCTTTATCTAAGACTTAGTACAATACTAAATGAATCTCATGATGTTGCTGAGATGTGGCAAAATTGCATTGTTGAATACCAAGACGCTGATGTGAAAAGCAGTAATAATTTTGATGTTTGATAATAAAGTCTACTGAAGTTAACAAAAGTCTAACTGGAATGAAGTCAACTTAGTTGACTAAACACAGAATGAAGTGTAGTTAGAACAGAAAACGTAAAAAGCTTGGCCCGCTTGGATTTGCCAGATTAGTTTTTAGTAGGCAGAAAAAATGTCCCCAAATTGAAATTTGATCTTAGCTCGGGATTAGATTTTTATACTCCTGGGTGTCATGTATCTTGGTCCACAGAGCAGGCAGAATCTCAGCTGTATGTTTTCTTGGGAAGAAAGCCTTCATGTCTTGACTTTCAGAGGCTGTCTATGTTCTAGCCAGTTGTCCCTTCACCTTTTTACTTTTTCCAGCTATCAAGAGTTGGATAAATGAGTTCTGGAATGGTCTATTGATATGAAATAAGATAATTGTGTAGCATTTTCAGTTTGCCACTGATATGTACTTTCTGTTGTTGGCAAAAAGCCAAACTCCCTTTTCTAATGCACAAGAAAAGCTTTTCTAGAAGTATTTTACTGTTGTCTCTGCCTTTGGTAACAGGTTTCTCATGCTGAAGGGCTGGCTTGGAATTAGTATATCCTAGCCTCTGTGCTCCTGTTTACCTGTAATCCTGGAAGAGGAATTGGCAAACAGTAGGCAAAGATAGCACTGATTTATGCCAGGCTGGCTCCTTTCCTTTGAAACAAGCACTTCTGTCTTCTTTTAAAGATTCTGTACGTTGGTCAGTTGTGGGAGCCACAAAGCACATGTCAATATGCTTGCAGCAAGAGCCTTGTTGAATTGAAATTGCATCTTTGTGTGTTATATAAATACTTGTGTCTCTTCTTCTCTCAAAGATACAATAAAAGAGAGGATGACTTTCCCAGTCTAAGTGAATATAATGATTTCCTGGAAGAAATAGAAGAAATTGGTAAGTCTTAAAGCTTGCATCTTTGATGTTCTGTGCTCATGAGACCATAGGCTTTTATCTTCTGACTCAGCTGCCTATGAGAATGTCTGAGTTTCTGTAACAGGATTTATCATAGTATCAGATGTTTATCTAATTACTTTTTTCCTGTACATTTTCAATCATATTTGCTGATCTGTAGGACACTGTTAAGTAAAACATTTTATCTGCCAGAGAAAAAACACAATTCAAAGAGGAAGTAGTGCTTTATAGCTGGAAAAGACAGGCTTGCAGGGGACTGTTGGTGATGCACTGGGAAAGATTAAACAAAGAGAGGAGAAATTGAAATTTTCATTATATGCCTCCATTAGCTTTATCTACCATGACAGAAGCCATATGGTGTCTTTCATCATTTTTGCTTCTGCAAGTACAGTAGTTGAAGCTGCTTTGAAGCTGATGACCTTACATACCACTGTGGTAGCATTTTATGTTGCTGTTCAGAAGGAGAAGGTTTAGGAACAGACATTGATTCCTTTCTCTTTGGATTAGTTGAAGCAGAACTTTGCCCTTTGGGGAAGGGACTATGTTATCAAGAGAGTTTATTTTCTTCTTAGTTAGGGTGACTTGTGATTTATAGTGGAGTGATGGATTTTGATTAGAAAAACAAGGATGTGTTCAAAGAAGTGACTCCTAAATGGTTTGTTTCTTGGGTTTTATGAGCTTCTGAGGCTTTTCTTTTTTTGTCCTGGAGGAAGAAGAGGTGGCTTAGAACATGTATGAGGGGCAGTGAATGTGATTTGAAGGAAAACATGGAGATGCCACTCCGCTTTGGTTTCTCAAAGGAGCCCTTGCTCCTCTTTGCACTGTGATGTTTTGTAGAAATGTATCCAGTGCACTTACTGCTGTGAGTAATGTATCATGTTTTTGTTGGCATCAGAAGGCTGAGGCTGGAGAGCTAAATTGTGTGGCTGGGAAATACCAGGCACACTCATACAGGTCCAAATATCTGGAGGAGACGATGTGGGTGTAGTTCTGTTTATATATTTTTTTGGATGGTGTGGGGGAAGGAGGGAGTGAGCAAGTAGAAAGAATGGTTGCATCTTAGCCAGAGGGTCCTGGAAGAATCTGTGTGCTTATGGAAAGGAAAAATGCTTTTTATTTATGTAGCATTAAATACAGGTTTCCCACTTACTGCTGTTGCAGGGGTTTTCAGCATCTGCAACAAGGGAGTTGTAGTTTTGCCTGAAATTGCCTTAACCTCATCAATTTGTGCAGAATGTTATGATTCTCCAGCTCTTGGTATTAGGCTGTTAAATTTCAAATGGTTCCAGAGCCTGCGCTGGTAACGTTGTTTAGAAGCAGCAGAAATCACAGCTGGTCTTTGTAACCTTGTGAAGAAGAGTGAATTTGTCAATAATTGTGCCAGCCCTGCAAATGCATAATGAAGAAGCTCGATAAGAGTTGTTAGGAATTGAAGTTAGTTGCCTGACAGGAATACCAAAATACTAAATGGAATAGGAAGTTGACTACCTCCTAGTTTCTTCATGTAGCAGCCAGGGTAATGAGAGGAAAGAAGGAGTGCAGTCTGAAGGCTCTTAATTTTCACTGTCAAAGGGGTCACTTATGATCTACTAACTTCAGGCAGATACAGAAGCTGGAGGACGGGTTAGATGCAAGAACACCACCTTGGGTAAGAATTCAAGCCCTGTTCTCCTTGGTCCTTGGTGACAAAGCTCATTGCGCACATCTTGTTCTCCCTAAGCCCTTCCCTGCCTGCATTCCAGGGCTGAGTTCTCTACCTGACAGTTGTCACACTATTGCTACGTACCAGACTTCTTCCAGCGTTTTTGCTGTGCGTGTTGTGTGTGGCATGGCTGAACCATATGTTAAAGGTGTCTTCGACTCTATGGTTACTTCACATTTTACTGCTGAGAGTATTATTTCATTTTTTTTGTGTATGTGAATTCCCTGCTCATTTGTGCGTGTGAAAAACTAGGCTGCAAGACAGGAAAAAAAGAGTGTAGTCATGCAGCGCAAAGTTTTGCCTTGTGGAGCCAATGTACAGCACGTTGGCAGTAGGTGCTGGTGGTTGTTCAAGCTGCCAGGTTAGGAAGCAAGGGAGCAGAGAACTGGATTTTCCCTTTCTCCCCCTGCCTCAAACTTTCAGTTTTTCTGTGGGAGGGTCAAAGTGCAGCTTTACCCTGTTTTCTTTTTGCTGGTATGTTTTGTTTTCTAAATTGTTGTGGGGGATTAAATGAAGTAGTTGCTTGGCAGAGACAAAATGCAAACATCCTGTATATTTCATGTGACCTGGCACAATTCTGATAGTTTTTCCAAATGTTTCAGGTAGGTCAGCTCCACTCCAGCATTTGCAGCAATTGCACTGTCTTATTCCACGGATGTGATATATGACCTCACTTGAAACACATTTTCCCCTTCATATCAGGATTGTTATACCTATAGACTTCTTCTATTTAAAGAAAAGAGTTGGGTGGTATAGCAAAAGTGTGAGAGGGGAAGGTCAAACAAACATTAGGGTAGTCACCTCTTAAGATTTCTATTATAAAAAACACATTTTTGAAGTGGTTTAGAATGTAGCCACTAAATAATGCTTTGGGCTAAAATGTGTTATACAAGACTTTAAATAGAAACCACATTTTAAAGCAAGTTTTCCCCAGAAGAAAAATCAGTTGGACAATTTGAGAACATTGTAAACACAGTTTGTTGTCATTAACACTAGGAAGAAAAATAAAGTGAAAGGGTTAAAACCTGTCTTTGGGAAAGGGGTGGACAACAGCTATTGGAATAAGACAGGTCTATGCCCATATGATGAGCAGGGCAGGGTTAAACCTTAGAGTGTTGCTACAAGTTACAATCCCTGGACATCATGCAAATTTTGCTCACTCTTTCCCCAAGGTTTTCTTCTTTCCCCAAGGTTTTCTTCTTTCCCCAAGGTTTTCTTCTTTCCCCAAGGTTTTCTTCTTTCCCCAAGTATGTATCTCGGTAGCTAGTTTTTCAAGACCCGGTGTGCAAGCTCTCCAGAGCAGGGCCCGCCTCCGAGCATGTGTATGCACACTGCCTGGCACCATTCTTCTGATACGTGAATGAGGCCTCCAGGCATTACCGCAACACAATTGTTAATAGTAATTATTGCTTTTTAAAAACTTTCAGTACATTCAACTTGGAAGGAGGCTACTGTATTTGTGCCCTTTGGATTCCTGTATCTTGTTACTCCTCTAAGACTTTATGCAACACGAGCTGCCTAGTGGCTTGTCTTGCTCAGAACGTTTATCACAAGCAATCCTTGGATAGAAAAGATTTTGATATCTGTGATCACTTGTGGGTTGTGGTGTCTATTGGTTTGTTTTTGTTTGCCCTTGCCCCCCACTCTCCCCCCACCACCTCCATTTGTGTGAATGAGGATGATATTGCTGGTCCTGACAACGGGAATAACTCGACTGGAAATTGGGCAGCTTTATCAAAGATCCATTTTGGTCATCTCATCTGAACAAAGATTTTGGTAGCATGCTGTTCCAGACAAAGTGATCTTTCTTAGACTGGTAGGGCTGAGTGATTTCAATCATTTATTACTATGCTAAGGTATTTTTCTGGAAAATTATTGACCCAATAAAAGGCAACTGAGGATAAACAGAAATAATTCTTAATACCTAACTATATTTTTCTAGCTTAGCTGTGGGTTTTCTTTTGTTTCTGATAATTATTTTGTTATAATCACAGAAATGTTGTTTGGAAGGGACCTGTTAAAATCTATTCCATCTTTTCTCCCCTTCACCCTTCTCCTACTGCTCTTAAAAGTACAGGGATCAGGATTCAAAAGTACCAACAGAAGGTACCACAGTAGCTTTGGACTCCCTGGGCAGACTGAGGATGTGGTTGTGTCTCCCTTCATAGTGCTCTGCCCAAAGCAGTTGCTCTTCTGCCATTCCTGATCTCTGGCTGGTGATTTATGAAGACGATAACTAAGGAGTTGCTTGTAGTACGGTGGGAGGAATATTTTTTTATAACAAACTAATACTACTAATTTTTAAATTTTCAGCTGGCTCATACCAGCAATGCAGATCAAACGCTGTCAGCAGAGTAATCATCTGCTATCTTGCTAGAGAGGGAATGTTCCTACTATTTGAATAGCAAATATTTTTTACGTGGTAACATTACTGTCTCTTAAGGAAATAGGAGGAGGTGGGTCAGAAAATTTGCAATGTCTTGGACTAAAACAGGGAGATTTTGACGAACTTGAAGTCCTGCAGTGTGGTGACATTCATTCATTCATAGTGCTGCATCTCTGGACAAATTATTATGCCATATAATTAAAATCTGTGTCTCATTTTCTTTTCTTTTTTATAACTAGGAAAATATTTTTCCATGTATTGTAAAATTGCATAATGAATATTGTTGTTTTGAAAAGCAGTGAAAGTCTCCCTGTAGAGGCTGAACTTCAGAAGTAGAGAGTTTTACCTAAGCAGAATGAAATGTTTCAGAAAAACACAATAGTCTTCCTGTTATACTTCAACAGATGTCTCAAGGCAAGTCATTTTATAAACCAACCAATGTGAGATGGATAAGTAGATAAATAATTGTTGCATACAAAACAGCTTCTGTTTCTTTTCCCTGAAGGGTTTCAGGCCTCTTATATCGGCTTATGCTATATTTCAACATGGACAAAAATAAGTCTGGCTTCTCTTTGAAACCCTTTCAAACTAGCCATCTGCTTTGCCAGTCATATTCAGATCTATACCAATATTTTTTCAGGGTAGGTGTAGCATGAGAGTTACGTTTTTTTAACTCTTTCTGATTCTTCTAGTTTTATAACTTGTTTTGGTGTATTTTTTAAAAAGGGAATATTTGGAAGAATTATACTTAAAATAAATTTCTGGCAAAACTCAAAGCAGAGCAAATAAAAAAAAATACTGCATAGTCCTAGCTAAGTAAAAGGTAAGAAGTTGAGTATTAGTTGACTGTGTTCTTTGATTTGATACTTGTTGGTTTTTAAATGCCAAGTAACTTGTGGAGGGGACAAAAGAGAATAGAAAGAAATAATCTCTTAATTATTTTTTGTGGACTAGTGGCCTGTGGACTTGTCAGCTGTAATTGCGAGGATACAATGGCAGGAATGTGTATCTCTGAATATTGATGAAAAGATGTTTGAAGCTTATGAAAAATATATTAGAAAATATGTTGGAAGATGTTTTGACTGGCTAGTTGGCCACTGATAACCATGCAATGTCAAAGAACATCATTTTGCTGCTATGGTGTTTATTGTAGGAGGGAGCATACCCTTTTCATTTATTAAAGGAACACTATTGACACTGATGTTGATACAGACACATCCAGGTCTTAACACTGTTGCAACAAAATGTAGCTCTTCAGTATTTTAAGTCTTGAAATGTGGACAACTTAGTGTTAAGGAGCAGATGCTTAGGACCCAAATAATGCTGTTCTTCAATGACTATGAATCTGTATTCAGTGGGAGAAATCTGCCCTGGCCTTTGAGGGTGTTGGAATTATGAATCTTTCTGATTGCTCATGTCCGACCTTATTCTCAAGTGCCAGAGTACAATAAGACCGACGGGGCAGAATCAGCATGGTATAAGCAGATCCGGCTGTTGAGAGGGTTTTACCTGTGGTTTGGTTCCAGCCACAACAGGAAAACAGAAGGGGAAGTGAACCATCTTTCACCTTGCTGTGAGCAGAGCAGTGGGCATTTAAGGTGGCTATGCAGGGGCTACTGAAGATTTCTCAAACACTGATGCAGAAACATATCTCTGACACGGAAATGTTACTTCATGTCAAATAGCAAAATAAACCTGCTTTTGTAAGTAGTTCTAAATAAAGGCAGGCATCTGCACATGTTTAAAACTTGCCTGCTTTCCCCAGTATGAGTTTTAAATCTTATGGTTTTTATTTTACAAACCCAAGTTGTGACTAGTTGAACCTATTAAAGATAACTGAGAAGGAGGAAGAAAACCCCTGAACGTTTCAAGCAGCAATAGTTGCAAAACCTAGATCGTCAGCTTATTACTGGATTACTTTTAGAGAAATACCCAAGATCAGGAGCCTAAAGGCATTTGGCATCTCATCTTGCACCTGAAGGTGGCATCTGGGCATCCTGCTAGCACAGCATGTCTCATATGCTATTTCTTTCTTGTGTTGTCATTGAAGAGTTTAGAGAGCTGGTGTGTGGATTTAAGTTGTAGGAAGTGCTGACATTCCCATGCAGCTGCTGTCACTGCAGAGCCCTGGTCTGATTGTATGCCAGCATTTTCACATGACAATTCTTCTCTGCCATAATACTCAAATATTAAGCTGCTTGTCAGCTGGGAACCGTAGGCTGGAAGTTTGGAGGTCAAATCTCCATTAAAATACCAGAAATTTACACTTTTACTAAGGTAATGTTGCTGTAACCCAAAAGTATATGTTAGTCACAATATGAAATTGGAAAATATTGTTATGCCTTTTGGAGAGAAAAAAAAAAAAAAAATTTGAAATGGGTAACTTGCGTCCAAAAACCAAGAAGCTGAACTTTGAAGGGCTTGTTTGGGTTAAAGCAGTGCCCAGAGATTCCACCTGAAATGAGATCAAGACTATGGAGATAGGTGCTGCATATAGCTATAGTATGGAGATCTAGCAGACGATGTATAGGAGAAAGGAAGCTTTACTCCCCTACTCTCGGTTTTTACTGGTGGCAGACCTCCAGTATAGAGGCCCAGCGATCTGCCCTGGAACAGTAGCAAAGTTGGAAATTGAACTCAGGTGTTGATTCCCAATTGAATACTTAAACCACAAAACCAGCCTCCATCTCAGATCTTCCTTCTGAAGTGAGCATGATGGACTTGAGGTGGAAGAGTTCAGCTGATTTAGGAGCCAGGCTGAATTAAAATGTCAGTCCTCTTGATATTGCTCATTATTTGGAAAAGAGGGGAAAAAATAAGTACAGCGTTTTGGTTTTTTTGCTTAAGGTTAGGAATTTCTTCAGCTGTATCTTGTGTAGCCCTTTTTATTGCAGTTTGAGGAAGGACTGAATACTTCTGGTAAGAGTAAGATGTTGTGGTGGTTCAGTACTCCTGGAAAGAGAGTATTCCTGTTCTCATCTGTACAGTTTCATTACTTCCCTTGTACCATCTCTGGCACTTGCCTGACCCCTTTGTTGAGCCAGTTCAGGTTAACGGAGGGTTTCTGTTGACACTGCAAAGCATCCAGGGAGTCCTGGAGTCTGAGCAAGTGAAAGAGTGAGACCTGTACCTGGGAAGAGGGACGTAAGAGCAGGACTGCCCCTTTTTGGCAGTACTGAGCTGCTATAGAGCTGGGTTTGTAAAACTGAGCTGTATCCCACAACTCTAGCTTTTTGGACCTTTCCTGTTTTCTCCCACTGCCCCCATTTGCTCCCTGCTTTGATTTCTTGCTGTTGCCTTTGCTGCTCTCAGCTGGTTTTCCAGTCTAGGCTATTCATGGTTTGGTTTACCTAAAACCCTCCTAAAAGCTCTTTTCTGCCGTGTTACCTGTGGAGAGGATGAAAGGAGGGATATATCTTTACTAAACTGAGATGTGTGCTATCTGATGAATGACAACAGACTTCATGCTTCTTCTTTCTGTTTCTCTCTAGCAGTCTTACATATATACAAATGACTTGGCGGTGGTGCATGTGCACAGGGTTCATTTGGCCCTAGTCGCTTGAGAACCTAGGAAGAAAGAACTGAACAAAAATCTTCCAAGTGCCATGCTGGCATTTTCACTAGAACCTTCTTCCCTTCCTCAGGGTTTGACAGCGCACTCACTATGCTGTTGTTTTCTTGTGAAGGATTTATCAATGGCAGTGCAAATTTCTCTGCTGCTCTGGTAAATTTACTGTAGCCATGTGACAAAGCTCTTTGAGGCTTTGAGTGCTGTATGTTGGCAGTCTTCAATAGCTTTAAGGCCACGGGCATGAGCCCAGCATCCACTCTGGATAGGGATCTCCCAGTGACTTCCCAGTAATAATGGCTTTCAGTTGGAATTCACTTGACCCACAATTGAACCAGTGACCTAGAGGTGAAAGGCTCAGGCATTGCATCAAGTTACTAATCATCCAAACCATCTACATCTTTCAAGCTGTTGATTATAGAAACTGTTCAATTTCTTGAGGTATCTTCTGTGCCATGTGTAGATAATTGGGAATGTTGTGCTAAACTATGGAGCTTGCTGGCCAACCCTGCTTGCTCACATTTATGTGAGCTATAGTCTGTCACTATCGAGAGACATCAAAAGAATGCCATTTAACTTACTAATCTGGATGCATCTGCAGATTCCTCATAATAAAGGTAATTGTACATTGGTGCCTTTGAAGTTATCAAGTAATGTGAAGATTTTTTGTGTACCTGAGAATTTGAACAGTCTTTGTAGTCTTTGTGCATTATATAATCTTATGAAATGGAATGACTTAAGTTTTAACCTTGTCTTAATAAGTATGTGTTTAGTCTAATTTAATTTTACAGGAATCACTGTGTTCTTAGCTGTAAAATATTGACCTTTTCAAGTAGCAGTTATGAATAATATGATTATTCATGTGAATCATCAGTATCACAAAATAGGATGCAAGACTCAAATTTTCATCTCCTACAGATGTATAAACCTAAAGGAACTCTGCTGGCTTCTGTTGAAGTTTGCAGTGATTTAGCAGATTGTGTCTTGCTTTACAGGGCATATTTAAATAAATTCTGTTGTTGTGATGTTTATATCTGATGCTAGAAGGGTTAGAGAATGTAAGAGTAGTATTTCTTTGTCAGTCATGCATGCTGACCTGATACTTTTGCTTTCTGTCTTTCTAATATTTGTGCAGTATTTAACTTGACCAACAATGTGGATTTGGAGAACACCAAAAGGAAAATGGAGCTGTACCAGAAGGATAACAAAGAAGTCATTCAGAAAAATAAGATAAAACTGGTTAGTTAACTTCTCCTCTCCCCTACAATTTTTATTCATTAGTTAGAATTAAAGGATTTTTGAAGTGGAGTACTTTCTATAATGTCTTAAAAACAAGTCAAAGCTGAAGGCTCTATGCAGATTTCGCTTTGTATTCAAAAACCGTAATACGCTAATGTTCTGCGATACTGTTATTTAGTGCTGTGTAAAGTGATTAAATTAATAGCTGAAATGTAGTTGTGCTTTATTTTGGGAAGGGCTTGAAAAGAGGGACAGGCAGTAAAATCTGCATCTAATACATCACCACTGCATGCGTGCTGGCAGCGTGATTGGACAATTTCCAGGAGAGACCAAGTTCACTCCTATACCAGGACAATCATTCCTTTCTCATCCGAAGGAAAAAAAGAATCCAGACGCAGACATTATGAAGCTCCCAGGAGAGAGCTGTAAAATTGAAGGAAAGCACAGGTCTGGTTTATGCAAAATTTAAAATGAAAGATGTTGAAACAAACATTAAAACTTTTGTTCAAGAGCTGATAACAATAACACCAGGAATACTGTATACATGGTCTGTATGCAAAACACATGGTTCTTTGAAGATTCATTCATTAAAATATGGCTAAGATGTAATTTTGTTCTTGAAAAATAAACTTGCAAGCATTTCTTTCTGTAAGAAAAGTTTAATCTGTTAAATATTTTTTCAGTATAAAAATACATGTTGTTATCAGTTCTTGAAGGAAAATGTCTGCCCAGAGTGTGACATAACAAGGTTTTGTATTCCAGTTGCACTAAGGACTTGCTTTCAAATCAGTAGGGGTGAAATCCTCACTCCCCTGAAGTCTGTGGCAAAACTTCCAGTGATTTCTTTAGCTCTAGGATTTCACAGGAGGAGATTGGAATCTGAAAAATGTTTGTTTGAACCTCTTCCTTTTAAAGGCAAGGAAATTTCCCTAGGGGTCCATCTCTGATCTGTTATCCTGTCTCTGACACTGTGCAATATCCTATGCTTCAGAGCTTGAAGAGACCTGCCAAATCTTTGGATACATGTCTTATTTTACAATGTAGGTGCAACCTCTAGGGTCACCATGAGAATAGTGTGCTTTGCCTGCAGCCCACCTTCTGTTTATATATGTGACTCGCAGACAGCCTGTGCGCTAGCTGTGTGATCATATCGAGCAGCACAGTAATACTCTGTACCCACCCAAGCCCCCTGGGCCTTCTGTTTTCTGTACTGTATGGTCTTGATGTGCTAGAGGCACTTCCAGTGGAAGCTGGGCAAGCCTGTGTGAATCCAGACTTACTGGAGATCTGGAGACATTTCTTTTTTATTCCTTTTACAACATTTGAAACATTCGACATTTCTTTTTCAACAATTGAAACATAATAATAGACTTGACGCAGTTGCTATTACAAAAACTGCATGATCTTGCCCATAAATTTACCCCTTTCCCAAAAGCTGAAAGGTTTCTCTCTCTACGTCTTTTTGGCAGGTTTTGGAATGTCTTTACTCCATAAATGGTAAAAGGTGTCCTAATTTCTCGCCCAAGCTTCTTATGGCCAGTCATTGTCCCTTCATTCTTGGACTGACATAAATTTTTCTGTCCACTGTAATAGTTTGCTTCTGAGGAATATAGATGTTCTCTGTCCCTCTTGGTGTTTTTGTTACCCTTTGCCTGTTCCAGTTTGAATTTGTGTTTGGCAAGCAGAAGGGACCAGAACTGAATGTAATATTGTAGCTGAGATCTTAACAGCCTCTTATAAAAGAACACTGTTTTCCCATCTCTACTGGAAATACATTGACGTGATCCTAAGACTGTTCTCTTGTAACACTGTTGTATGGGAGGTTCAAAATCAGTAGTGGTCAAGTAGTGCATCATATTTTCTCCTCTTTGGTTTCTAACTGATGAGTTAATGTCTCAAATCTGTGGCCTTGTAAGTTATTTTTATCTCACTTCTGTTACTTCTGTCCTCATGAGTATGTCATTCTTTCTTACAAATCAAAATACTAAGTTACTGAACCAGTCACCTCAGGATTTGAATAACTGCTTGTTCTTCTGTCAATACAAGCCATCTTTTTCATCTTTGTAGCCGGTTCCTAATGAGATTGCTGCTCATGTACTAACCCATCTGTTAGATCTGTAGATCTCATGCAGGACCATGCAGAGAAAAAGTTTTAAGTAGACAGGTATGGGTAAAAAGGTGAAGAACTCTTGGAGAAGGGGTTCTTGTCATTATAAATTGATTTTTATATATGTTTATATATACTTTTTATATATATATAAAGCCTTGCACTCTGGACTGTGGTTTTCCCAAACGTGCCGCCTTCCTTAAATATCTGCTGTTCTCCAGTCATAGGGTTACTTGTTACTTCCTACTTTGTCACTAGATGTTTAATTTCACTTGCTGCTTTGTTTTGTCTGAACTCTGTGATGTGAATGTGTTTAAGTTTCCTTGATTGTCCATTCCTGAATGTGGCAAAACATCATTACACTTTCTATTTACTTCTTCCACTTGTCGTCTTGAGTTTGCTTCAGGCTCTACCATGATCATCTTTTTCTTTAGATGTTGGGACTCTGTCTAGATTATCTTTAAACTTGACACAACCCTTGCTGCCTATTGAACTCATCTCTCCTGTTTTACTGTTTTGTTTGGTCTTCCTTTCAGAAAGTATTTGATCTGACTCATGATAATTCTTCCTTTTCCTGTAGTCTGATCTGGTTTAGGTTTGTATATCAGTTTACTTATTTCTGACTATAATTTTTGAGGGCTGGCTCTTCAGACTAGGTCTGTCAGCACTTCTCTACAGGTTTTCTTCTGTTTCAGTGCAAATTCCAGGCAGTCTTTAGATATAAACATGGAAGAGGCTTGGAATGTCTTAAAGACCCTGAGCTCTTCAGTTCTGTTGACTGAACTAACTAGAACCCTTAATTCTCAGAAATATAGTCAATTAGCAACTTGGGGATTTCTTGTTTCCTCTCATTAAATGCAAAGAGAATCCAGTTTCAGGCAGTCACTGGTTGGTGACCAGCTTTTTACCAGTGTCACTGCTAGTTACAAAATGGAAGCAGCTTCTGTTGGCTCAGTGGCAGGTGATGAGATCTGTCAGCTCTTGCATCCAGGAGTAATTGGGCCTCACTGGGACCAATTGTCTTGTTCTGCCTGATAAAGGGATGTTTTTCAGCATATTCTGGCCTATATCAGATAGCTATACTTTATGATAAAAACAAATTTTTCTAAGCTCTTGGCTGTAACAGTGTTTTGCTGAAACTGCTTCCATCAATAAATCATCCATTTAAGTTTTATAAAATTTTAATGATCTCTGTGTTTTTACTGAATCTCCCTTTCCTTTAGTATTTTTGGTGGGGAAGATTTGGAAAATGTTTCCTGTATGTTTTGTCCTGTACCTTCTTACAACCAAACTTATATTCTTTTGATTCCCTCTTCTGTATATTAAATTGTTTAATCTTTTTATTTTCCCCTGTCTCTTAGCTGTCTTCCTTTTTTTCTTTCACTGTGATTTTTCAAATACAGATTACTTAATAGTTTACAGGTTAAAACAGACTTCTCAAGAAGTAAATCCTGAAACAAAAACTAGCCACTTTGTACTAGTAATATCTTTCTTTTCATCTTGTGTCACAGGACTGCAATCCTGGTTATAGGAAAAATTCCTCATTTTCTGGGAATATGACATTTTTACAGTTCGTGCTTAAATGTGTTTTAGTTTATGAGCTTCTCTATTAATAATCACAGACTTGTAATATCTTGTTTTTCTTCTACACCACTGATAAGCACACAGCGTACTTCGCACAGAAGATGTAGCTGATGAGGGGAGTGATCAGGAACAGCACTGTGGGATTGTATTTTCAGTCACCCCACTTATATCACTTGAGAAGTAGGATGTGTGGGAGCAAAGAGGAGTTCATTTTAGAGTGAAGGTGTAAGAAAAACCCATTGCCATCCTCTAACGTTTAAAGAGCCAAGATCCAGATGGTTACTTGCTACTGCAGAGAGCAGCAAGGAAAAAAAAATATCTAACTTTGCACTGGACAATAGGAGGAGGTAGAATCATCATCCATAATCACCTTGAACTTCTACCTAAAATTCTACTGTAAAAGGTAGAATTTGGCTGCTTTTGTATTGCTTGGTCTGTCCTAGGTCCTTTGGTAGGCAGTAGAGCTGTGGGCAAGCTCTGTCCACCTAAGGAGGAAGATTGCTATGAGTTGATTTCTAATTTCCATTTCAGACACGGGAGCAGGAAGAGCTGGAGGAAGCTCTAGAGGTGGAGCGACAGGAAAATGAACAAAGGCGACTGCTCATACAGAAAGAAGAACAACTACAACAGATGATAAAAAGGAAGAATAAGCAGGCACTCTTGGATGATCTGGTGAGTAACAAAACCAGAGGCGTTGAACGCTCAGTAGCAGAGCAAACAGCAAGTACTTTGACATTCATCTCTACCACAGTTAACTGTGTGGAATTAACACAACTGCCCCTTTCTGTTTCCCTGTCTTGCATGTTTTGCATTACTGTTCTCTCCCCTATTATTCATTTCAGTGTCACAAACGACTCTGGTTTTGGTAAGCTAAGGACTGGAGGAAGAGTGCTTCTGGAATTCATAGACTTAGTTGGAGTCATTGTCCAGAATGTCCAGTGCTGGTTAGAAATTAATTTTAGGAAAGCATTCTTGACTGTTTCAACACAAAATTAATCCTGGCTAAGATTCTAGCAAAGAAAAATGCAGAAGGTTTTTCGGGTGTTTGAAGAAGGCTATTTTCTGGTTCTACCTGTTTTGATTATTTTGTTCATTTCTTTTCCTAGTGAGCTTCCATTGAAAGCCCTTTTCCTGTTGCTAATTGACATGTGGAGATGTATTTCAGAAATTGCTTTAGTGAGTCCAGCCACTCTACCAGTTTACTTACTAGCTGACATTTGACTGCATATCTGAAGAAGAGCTAGTATAAAAGTCTAGATTTCTGTTTAATTCATCGACAATATGAAAGCCACAGGCTTTGACTGTGATCAAGGATGGCTTGCATTAGCATAGCTGACATGGCGACTACTCCACCTTGAATGTATGATGGGTGAGGTTCTGTCATGTCTGAGGCCATGTAACTGCCTGCTTGTTTTGCCTTCAGCTGATGACAGCTGCATCTGCTTTGGTGCATGGCTGGTCATGCAATTTGTGAGGCGGGTAGAGAGGACCTACTAGGTTGGTTCAGCCATAATGTGAACTCTGACCACTGTTGTCTTGTTCAGCAGTCCTGAATAGTGGTTGATAATCTGGTGTGTTGAAACAAAATGGTAATCAGGAGCTGCTTCATGAGCTCAGCCACCTCTGTAATGGGGGGATGGTGGAGAACAGGGGACAGTAACCTCATGAGTTATCGGAGTATTAGTCAACCCTTTTTGAGTCAGAACACCTAAATGATAGGTGGTCTCTTTGTATTCAAAAACTACTAAAATGAGAAGATTTCTTGCCTTGAGTGTGTCTTGGTCTCCTGCTGCAAAATTTTGTTAATGAGTTGCTCCTTTTGAAGTGAATGAAGCTTGGATTAATTTGAGGCAAGTATAAACAACTGAAGAAAAAACTCAGACTCCTTCTGGAAATTGTGTTAGTCTTGTCTTTGGCTGAATTTACTACTGATTCTGCATCTGAAATGCAATGATGATGTGTGGGCACAGAGAAGCTCAATAAATGTGTTATTTAAACAACATTCATGTCTCAGTTTTTTTAATACATGTGTGTGTACAGACATGCATGCACACACATTCACATGCTCTAACACCCATGAAAATGGTCTGTGTGTAACCCTGAAGGAAATCAGAAAAAAGGAGACATATGTATGCATGCATACATGTGTGCAGCTGTGTCAGTGTGGTTTAAAGCTACTTGGCAGATGTAAATCAGAATTTCTCTCATATTTAAGTTTATCTCACATTAATATAGTGTTGATTCCTGCTTTGTATTCTCAGTTCTTATTCAAGATACAGATGCTTTTCTACTTTTCCTGGTAGAGTTCCCCTTCAAACCATGGCAGAAGGCACTGACATGAAGAGAGAGCATCAATGTGCAGTTTAGGAGTTTCATGGCCTCCTGAAGAGCTACCTTTTTCTAAGCCAGGAGTACTGACAACCCGTCATTGGTTTTGCTGAAAGGAGCTGGTGTTCATTTTTTGTAGACAGAAGCAGAGATGAGCAGAAAGGTTCTTTGAAAATCTCTCAAGTCTGTAACTTTGCATCCAGCAGTCTCTTTTCACTTTAAAGGTCAAAGTGCTTACAATCCACACAATTAGGAATAGTTTGAGTAGTGATCAATTAATAAAAACTCCATTATGAACTTGAATTTAATGGCTCAGAATAGGGATTTTGAACTGGTTTCTGACTTACTTCAATCCTGTTCTAAAATACCCTCTAAAGTTACTAGAGACCAGTGGTGGGGTGCATGTGGGGATTGGTTTGTGGTTTTTTTTTTTTTTTTTTTACACAGCAGTTGGTTTTACTGGACACCTACTTTACCAGATGGCTTGCGGAAAAAATGGTTATAAATAATCCTTAAAACGTGACCAAAATAGGTAGTTTTTACTGTGATTGCATATGTATTGCTATTAAAACATATCTTAATATTCTAAAAACAACAGAAAGGTGATTTTTAAAGACTGAGGAAGGAAACTGGGCGATTTTAAGTTGTGTCTCTGTTTATGAAGGGGCACTGTCAACTTAAATTTGACCCAAAACTTGTTTTGTAATACTAAAGGTTTATAAAACCAGCACCAAAGTGTTTGTATAATGACTTACAAAGTCTCTGGAAAACCAGCAGTTGTTAAACAAATAAACATTTCTTATGGTCTCTGAAATCCCTCTAATGCTGTGCTGCAAATCTGAAAATGAAGCTGGTCATAAGTAAAACTTAATTGAGAAATGCAGCAAAAGCCAAGCATAAGCAGTAGCAGTGTAAAGAGTTACATTAAAAAAAAATTAAAAAAATCTTACATCTGTGGTTGCTGGTACTGTGCTAAAACAACAAGGACTAAGTTCCGGCTACAGTGATATCAGTGGCAAAACTACTGGCTTGCAGGATTGTGAGTGTAGAGAAAGGTGGGAAGCTGACATTTCACCCATTGGCTTTGAATTGTCTCTTTTGGACGCATCACCTGGTGTTGGGAGCCTACAGCCCACGTGACCTGGGTCTTGGTCATTTTTGTCAAGATTCCTCCCCCATACTGGGGCAGCAAGAGAAGATCCAAGACAAATTTTTTTTGTGTGGTGCAGGTAGAGATGTGGGGTCTTTCCTCTTCCAAGAAGAGGTTTTTGCCTTTGGTGCTTAAATCGTAATGTCTGAGGAGATTCACAGTTTCTTGTATGTGTTATTTATGGTATTATCATATTGAGTAAAGGTCTCAGTTTTTTAAAAACGTGTATGAGAATACTGTCCCATCTTCAAAGAGCTTATAATTTAGATAATCCAGAGGCAGGGAAAAAGGCACAGAAACGTTTGGTATTTAAAATGTCGTGCAGCAGGCTCTGGTTCCTGGTCAGCCTGGCGAGTGCAGTGGCTCATGCAGAAAGGACTGGACCTGGGGCAGAGGCTCCAAGAACCTGTCCTCGGCTGGGAGCAGGGAGGGGAAGGGCAGGTTCGCTTGCTGGAGAGGTGAGCAAGGCATCGCGGGTGGCTGGGGCTCTGCAGGCTACTGGTGCTTTGCCTAGGCTGTTGCCTGTTTTGCCTCCCAGTACTAAATTATGCAGATTTTATATTACCTTCATTGAGTGACCTCTTTTACAATAAAACCTCTCACTTTAAAAGCACAATGCCTTATTGTAATTTAGACTTGTAGTCTCAAATGCATTTTACGTATCATTGGAGGGGGGGTGTGTGTGTTTTATTTTGTGTTGGGTTTATTTTTAACCTTCTAGACTTGGATAATTGGGGCTGAGTAAAATATTAAAGCGCTTCCTTTATTTACTCTATAAACTCTCTCACTTGCATACAGGAGATTGTAGATCTGCTCTTGGATGTCTTCTGTGTTGTGGGACTTGCACTCTCCTCTTCAAGAGCCCATGCTTCCCAGGCATGAGCAAAATGGCATTGCAGCATGTGGCAAAGAGGCAGGTTTTCCCTGGGCTGGGGCATAGCTTGGAGTCAAGCAAAGGGCAAAGTGCCTTAAAGACATCATGTGTCCACACTTTTATTAGAACCTCAGGGTTTTTGAGACAAATCTTTTAGAAATTTTTGCATATAACTAGCTTCGTTCATACTGTTAGACAGTTTGTTTTCCCATACAGAAAACTGCTAGTATGGATACATGCTTACGGGATTGGACCTTTCATGTGTGTTAATAGTTAACAGAAGGGCTATGTGCTTATTTGAAAGGACAAACAATCATGGACTTGGTGGCTTTCTGGCACGGTGGGGGTTTCCCACAGTTGTGTAATCTGGTTACCGGTCATTGTGTGAACTCTTGAGAAGTTAGTGCAAAAATTGGCTTCCTTTAGTTATTGTACTAGAAATGCAGTGAACGTTTAAGGAATATGAGAGGACAAAATGAACCAGAGAATGCTTCCCACTCTTCACTTCTCCCCCAGCGTATTAAATCTGGTGATTAAAAGAATCCAACATCCTTAAACTTTGCTGACAGCTAGCAGCATATGCTGCTGCGTGGTGGTTACGGATATGTACAACACTTTGAAGATGCAGACTGTAACCTAGTGCTTTCGTGGTCCAAATTTTCTCCCAGTTGTACAGAAATTAGGCGTCTCTTATTATTACAATTTAGGCTTTTAACCTCTTCTCTCCACTCCTCCCATTTAATCACAGAAATGTGAGTAGGGTCCTATGCCTTAGTTGTATTTGTGACTCTGGACCAGCTCTGTCAGCTGAGATTTTTCTGCTTTTAGCACTTGCAATCTAGTCATAAGACAAAGGGCGTGTAACAAAAAAATAGAGAGGAAAGAGGACTGGAGAGTGATATGAAAAGTCAGTGTACAATATGACTGTTCTTCATGATCACTTCAGAAGATTTCTGTAGGATACCATGAACCGCAAGGCATCTCATGGCATTAAAAAATTCCAATTTCTTACCCTGAACTGAATAAGTAAAAAATCACGGTCCAGTTTGTTAAAGTTTTGTTTGGTTTTGTGAGTAACAAATATGGTTCATAGTTCAGTATTTGCTTGGTCCCATGAAACAGAAGTATACATGACGTTTGAGGGCCTTACGAGTAAAATACTGTGCTAGAGCAGTCTGGGAAGAATCCATCTGAACTTCCCTGCTCTCAACTTTATGGTCATTCTACCTAGGAAGTCTCAAGGCTTTTGGTGGGCGTGTGGATAGTTGCATTAGTTTACTAGAAAATTACTTGGCCAATAATTTTCTGACTCTCAAGAATGCAGTTACGTATATGTATGTTAATAATCATTCTGTTCTGAGAATTTAAGTAGTTCATTTGCTTAACTATTCATTTTACTACTTTTTATATTTTTTTTTTAATTGGCTGGCTTCCCTAAAAATAAGTTGGTGAAGGAGAAAATAAATATGCTGTTGGTTGCACTTACAATAGTGCCATTGTGCAAAGCAGAGCAAGGATCATTTCCAAACGGCCTCAGGTGAAATCTAATGGGAAACAATTTCAAACTGGTCTGAGTTCATTGGTAGAAAGAATGTGTCTTAGATAAACATCTGATCCAAGTTATACTACTTGGTATTATTCCTTCTCTGATTAAGTTCTAATTTTTGTTTTATTTTAATAAATACAGTTGCATTGGCCAGTTGGAATAAGGAGCCTGTTATATTGTCTTTAATGTGGATTCTATAAAAATGGTTGTTTGCAGGTTACTCTGATTTATGGGGTTGCTGCAGCTTTTTCTTATTACTGAAAATGATCGTTTTCTGTAAACTGTTTCTCATAGGATACTTAGCACTACACTGCTCTGCTAGTGATGGCCTTTCAGACACAGCTTGCACTTTTGAAGAATATGCAGTGTTAATTAATATTTGGTTTTGTTTAGCACTCAAATCTGTTCCTCATGTTTACAGGAGAGCTCCAGTCTTCCTGCTTCACTGCTTTTAGCTCAGCATAAGGACAGATCTACTCAGCTAGAAATGCAACTGGAAAAACCCAAACCTGTCAAACCAGTCACGTTTTCCACTGGCATCAAAATGGTAAGACTTGCTTGTTTCTTTTTTTTTTAATGCCTTTCAAAAGACTGAGGATTTCCTTATATGAAATTTAGAGGTTGTTTAAGCCTGAGTTGCATATTATATGAAATAGACTGTTCTCTTCCAATTAAATAAGTAATTAGGAATTAATCGAAGAATTTCATCATTCTGCTGGTTGGAATATATGAAATATTTTTTATTACATAGTTGTCAAAAAACAAGCTATACCTCTTTCCCTGCAAAGTTGCAGTGTCCTTGAATTATTTTTGTCTCATTTTTGTACCAATTCTGGAAGTTGAAATTTTGGAAGTTCAAGAATAGGCTGCACTTTCTTCAGATTACTTTAAGCACTGGAATAATCTGTGAGTATGAGACGGACAATTTAGAAAATGATGCCGAGTGGTTAAGGACGCTATTTTCATTGTTACTGGATGCTAGGAAGCAACAAGTATTGTTGCAAGTGTGTTACTGCTACGGTGACAGCTAAAGATGTGTCAGCGTTCCTGTCCTTTATCATGACATGGTACAAGTACACATCAGCCTGTGTAAGAAATGTGAAGTTTTGAGGGTGGTGGTTCAGGGGTGGGAGCATGGGTTACTGGTCTTCTTTGCACCTTACTGGTTTCCTGTTTTGTTTTGTTTTAAATCTCTGCACTTTTTTAGACTTTGTATTTTAGAATTGATAATGGTAAACAATGTCTTGAAAATAACTAGCACTCTCTACCCTCCTCAACAAACCAAGAAGTTGGCAAAGCAAAAACCTTTGTATCAAACTAGTCTCCCATCAACTAATCAATTTATTTTGTCAGGGATATCTGTGCTGTGTTCATTATCCCCCAGAGGGTTCACAATGTAGAAGCATTTGCAGCTTATCTTCCAAAAGTAGTGTCAGCTTTTGCAAAGATGTGCAGATTGTTTTCTTGTTTTCCTGTAGTATAAACTGTATCTTCTTCCTTTTTCTTTTAAAATCTGAGTCTGGGGGAGATTGATATTCTTCATGAGACCTTTTCTATTTGTGTAGAAAAGCTAGGGGACAGAAAATGTTTGTTGTTCTGTTTAAAAACTATTCTAACTGAATGCCTGTACTTTTTCTTGCTGTTAAAATATATTGTCAGAATTTCTTAAAGCTGTTGGCCTTTCTTCTGGGAAAAGCAAGAAGACAAGCTTATGCTACACGATGAGGACAATGGAAGTACTTCCTAATGCATTTGTAAATGAATATTAAATGCAGTATGCGGTAGTGGACATTTCAGATCTGCAGTGCTAAGTAAACTTCACCAGGAATGGTGAAAGACTTGGATGAGGAGATTTCTAGCATCACGGCATTTACATTTTAACATTTGGAATAATAGGGGATACTCCAGATAACTGATTGTTACTTTAGCAGTGTTCAGAAAGTGAGAGTAGATAACTAATTTAATTTGTTCAGTCCCAGACAAACAAGCAAAAACCTCCCCCTGACTGACCTTAGTCCTAGATTAAAAAAGAACAACTGGAAAAGAAACTTAGGAATAAGTACAGTTAACAATAAAGTTAAGATAGGAATATTTGAAGTCGCTGACTGTTTATGGAAAATTAATTACATCAGGCAAAACAGATTTTACACCAATGAAAGTACGGGTTTTGTTGAGAAAGATGAATGTTTCCATATTTTCTTTATAGGGTGCGCGATTTGGTTATTACGTGACATTGCTTTTTAGAACTATATAGAAATTATATTACACAATAATAACAATATTGAGGTTCTGCACAATAAATGAATTAACTGGCTAACTTGTAATTTCTCAAGTAGTTGTTGGTTTCCACAGCATAGGAATATTTCTGTGGGTGTTCTACTAGGGCACAGTTCAGTGTTTGGAAGCAGATGTTGAATTTCTATGGGTGACGTGCAAGCTGGCAGTTCACAGGGCCGCTTTGACAAGCTAGCCTCATTTGAATGAAATGTGTTTTAATATGGCTAAATGCAAAATTATAAATAGAAGAGTAAATAAAAGGCTCTGAAGAGGATTTGGAAGTTTAGCTAAGCAAGTAAACCAATTTGAACCTTAGCCACAGCGCGTGTGTGTGTGAGGGCCTTGGGTATGTGGATAGTACAGCAATACATAGGAAAGGACTTTTCCGTCTGAATGCAGTATTGGGGAGACTCATGGGCTGAAGAGTTCTGCTGACGGCATTTTGAATGCAAAAATCAGAAAGAACGCAAAGAGGAGCTGCAAAGGTCTATTCAAAGGCAGAAAGATGTGCTTCATGCTGTGTTCTGCCTCTAGTTTAAGGGAAGGTTAATACATGACTCAATTTACAATAAGTACCTCCTTAACACAGAACATGCCAAATCTGAACAGTGCAACAGTAAATGTAGCAAAAACCAGTAACCTTAGTTAAGCAAATAAGATCTAAATAGGAACTGAAGGAACAAGTAAGACCAAAAGTTCACCATGTTCCACTGGTTAATTGGCCTCACTGTTAAAATTGACTCTGGAATGCAATGAAATCTCTAGTTCTTGATGTTTCCAGATTAGGACTGGGATGTATCTTGGAAAGTTACTGTAGTCAAATGCAAGTTGTTTGGCTCAGAACGGAGTTAGTTTTGTAAAAAGCAGTACTGCTCATTGTACATGATTTGGCGTGGTTGACAGCGTAAGGTGAATTCCCACCTGGGCACTCACCTTATGACATGCTTGTTTTCCGGGTTGAATGTTTTTCTAAAAACCTGAGATGCTCAGTCCATTTGTTTTGCGTAGGTGTACGCTTGAAATAGGTAGAGCTTTTGTTGGCCTGCCCTCAAGGGCAGCAGTCTTTATAGTTGCTTTAGCTTTGTTCCTCTCTAAGCCACGGGGTTCACACCACTTACATTGGTGGGGGTAGCTCTAGGGGAGCAGTGAGAATTTCTTAAAAAATACAATTCTAACTAATGCTCTGTGTGGCTTGACAGTTCTGCAAATTAAGTATAGTTTCTGTGAAAAGTCTGTTTTATGCTCACTGCTAGGGTTTCAGCAGCACACATTTAATGAATCATTATGTAAGTTCTTCCCCTGTGCTTTTTTTTTCCTAATAGTTTGGCCATTGACCTTTTCTGGTGGGTGTTTTCCTTAATTTTGTTTCAAAAGAAAGGAATCCAGATAGAGCTAGCTGAGATGCTGGCTAACGCGGAGCTTGTGTTTACACAAAGCCTATAAAAATATGCCAGTTGTGGCAATCCATGGTTTTTTTTCAGCTTGAACATGAGTGTTTTTCCTGGGATGGTCTTGGTCAGAGATGTTCTTCAGCCTGACTGATAATCGGACATGTTTCTCGGTTTCTGAATTAAGAGGCATGCCCATTCTAGTCTCCTGGACAATGCTCAAGGAAGTTGGCTCATTTAAGGTGTCATATTAGTGTTGTGGAGTTCCTGTGCTTTCAGGGGGAGGAGGGAGTGTCTTTCACTTGTAAGCTAAGCAAGAGCATCCCCTATAGAACAAGACAGACAATTAGTTCATGGGGATAGGGTCTCCTTCACTTTTCTTTTTGTTAAATTGGGGTTTTTTGCTCCTTTCAAGTGAAAGCTGTTTTTTTTCTTAGCAGTCTGCTCATTAACTTTTAAATTTTATTTCAGTAAATTGTATCTTCTGTGCACAACACAAACTTTCCTAATCAATCTATTTGGTTTACCTCTGTAGGTGGGGGGAGAAAATGCTTCAGAGTTTTCTGCTTATCATGCTCATCATATTAAGAAATATGCTTTCAGCATATCTGAATATTTAAAAGTCGTATTAAATCTAATCTCAAATCCAGTGTAAAGCTACAAAAGAAACCATAGCAATCTTAATTGTTGCAGTAGTCCTAAAAGTACTATTTCCTGTCAATGCTTGTACTTTAGATTTTAGTAGCTGTCAAAACCAGCAAAGGTTGTCGGAGATGAAAGCCCTAGTATTTCTAGGGCTTATCAGGGTGTGCAAAACAAATCTAAGGTCTGGCAATAGAACCGTTCTTCTGTTTCTTGGTGAATATAGTGACCGTTTCTGGCTGGGAGGTGGCTTTAATGTGAAGCTAATTTTAATGTGTAAAAGAAGTGCTCATATGCATTGCACATGAATGGCAGTTTGCAAATGCAGCAGGAATTAATTTCATTACAGTAATTTAGGGTATTTTTATGTCTCTGATGTTTACAGGACTGTAGAAGCCTTTTGGTGCTTGTAGATTTGTGCTTTACATTACCATTACGATTAAAAACACATAGAAGTGTGGATGTATTTAACTTCTCTTTAATTCACTGAACTGGGAACATGCAAATCTTTGACTCTGCGGCCCAGCTATTTACATGTTTGTAAAAAATATGAATGCCTTAGACTGGCTTAGCTGCATGCTCTCTTCAGCATGTTTCAGGCTGGGTACCCTGTCCCTTCTCTGTTTCTTCCAGTTCTATGTTTCTTTGCTCCCTTTCCCCAGCCTCCCAGGAAATTTAGCCTCTATGGTGATGGTATTCTTGAAGTAATTTCATGTGGTTAAAAACTCAATTACCTCTAATTGGATTGCCCAAATACGCAGGAAAAGAGCATAAGTGTCCTCTGGCCTGCCACCACGTGGGAGAGTTTACCTTTTTACATTTCATACTGAAATATCTCAGAACTAATATAATGCATCATTGACTGTTCAATTTCTATCATGGTTTTTGTTTTATTACTTAATAGCAGTGGGAATATTTATTAATAGAAGTATTAGTGTAGGGTGTTGTACATGCTTCGTCATTACCAAGATGGTTGCTACCCCTCTGAATTTGCAGTTTAAATAGATGTGTCAGGGAGGGAGGGGAAGCAGATGCCCGGAGGGGATGTACTCGCCCAGGATTAGACAGCAAAGCAGTGGCGGAAGGAGGAATAGGATCCAGCCCTACTAAATTCCTAACCTCGTGTCTCTTCCGCTGCACCAGGCTCCATCTCCTGTCAACAGCACCCCTGAATGGCAGCGAATTAAGAGTGAAATATCTGCTTCAGCTTCTGCTTCCCTGTCCAAATCACAGCAGCGAT